ATCATCGCACATAACTCGTGTAATTATCAAAGATATTTGTATGATGAAAATATATCATATTTAATAATTCAGTATACAATATGTGCAATTGTAATGTGTTTTTCTATTAGAGAAAATACCTTAATAAGGACGATTTTATAAAATTTTGCCCTGAAAGTGGATGTCCTCTCAACTCAGCAGCATATCCCATGGTTTGTAAGCAAATTATGAAAACTATGACGTCTTGTGTGCACATATTGCGATTTTAAAGTATAAAGTAAGAAATCAAAATGTGTTTGCTTCCATGCCCCCAGTAGAAATATTAGCCCACCAATAATACTGTGGAATACTTTATTTTCGCTGGAATTAATTTTCGCTGGAAAGGCATTTTGAGCGTATTATATGGAGTTTAATGTGAAATATAAAAAAAAAGTATATTCGCTGGATTTTATTTTTACGGAATCATCCTTCAGCGAAAATAGCGAAAATAAATTTCAAGTAAAAATAAAGTATTTTACAGTATGCTTGGAAAATGTGCATTTAATGTGCACTCTTGCATTTACTGGTATTGAGTCTGTTAAGAGTTCATTGTGATATTTTTATTTCATAGGAACTTTGTTACCGGTATCAAAGATATTACAAATCATTTCAAGGAAGATGACCTTGTTAAAGTAAGTAAAATATTATTTCTTTGTGTTTTTTCAAATCATTTGACAAAAATCGCAAAATTAAAAAAATTTTTTCAAATATTGTTATCAGGATTTGTGAATAGAAAATTTCTGATCACTGATTCTGTAATCAATCTCTCAAGATTTTCTTTCTGATTCAGACCTCGAAATATTTCACATTCTTTTCTGAATTTTCCAATTTAATTTTGTACTAAGAAATGCAACATCAAGTATTTTTACTCTTCTTTTCTTTCCCCAATGACTTCCCTGCTATTACTTGTAATATATTGTAGCTACAAGGGGTCTGTATATACTGGCAGCATTCCATCAACTTCATTAAATAGTTATTTTTGTCACATTTATCTCATATTATACTTCATCTATCGTAGGTGCTTCACTACTATCTACTACCAAATTTTTAATTCATAGCAGAGCTTTCAGTTATCAAGCATGTCACAGGGCAAGGGGTCTTGCTTGTTTCCATAGTGACAACACTTCTGTAGATTTTTTCTTATTACTTGCAAGATGTTTTTGTATCAGACCATTACATTTAACTACATGTAAAGTGGCTTGATTCGTTTATTTGCCTCAGACCTGTATTTATTTCTTGTGGCTAAGTAAAAATACTGTAGAATACTTTGTTTTCATTTGGAATTTATTTTTGCTGTTTTCGCTGAAGGGATGATTTCGTGAAATAAAATCCAGCGAATATACATTTTTTTCTATATTTTACATTAAACTCATCAAAAATCAGTGAAAATAAATTCTATACAAAATGTCTAAAAAGCCTTTTCAGCGAAAATTAATTCCATAAAAAATAAAGTATTTCACAATAAGTAAAAATCTTGTGGTCAACTTGATTCCTGAAATGTTAATGTCATTCCTTTCTTTACTGTTAGCTGCAACTATACATGTATAATTTTATAATCTCAGTTGTAACAGGTTTTGAAATAGTTCCTTCAGACCCCTCCAACCTAGAACCATAACACTCCAAATAACTCAGAGGCATATAAATTTGAAATTGGGAACGGGCACTGGAGAGAGAGAAGAGTTAGGATTAGAGTTATGGGTGAGGGGGCCCTAGGGAAGTCCATTTTTTGTTCTGCTGCACCTTGTCTTGTGCCACCATTATCTGTTCAGTCACATGAATTATCCTTTGCCCCCTGATGCATACATACAACTGGGTAATTTTGGAAATTTTCCAGATTTGGTGATTTTTAGCATACTGTGGCATACTTTATTTTCGCTGGAATTAATTTTTGCTGAAAAGGCTTTTTGGGCATTTTGTATGGAATTTATTTTCACTGATTTTTGATGAGTTTAATGTGAAATACAGGAAAAAAAAGTATATTCACTGGATTTTGATTTAACTGAATCATCCCTTCAGCGAAAATAAATTCCAAGCAAAAATAAAGTATTCTACAGTACATGAAGTGTTACAAAATTTCATGATTTTTACTGACTTATGGAATTCGCAAAAAATTGTCTTTCGTATATTTAAAGAGGTTACAGTATTCGTCTGTGTATGCGGTGTACGTTTAATTGTGCCTTTGTCAAGAATTACCAAGTAAACACAATCACTTATCAATCAAGTCTCCCATTTGACCTTTGTTCCAACAACTGAAACTTGAGGTCATGTGTTGCGTTTAAAGAGGGGTGGTTCCTGAGCTGTGTGACATTTCTAGCTGTGAAAATAACACCTGTTAGCGGATTCAATCGTTTGCGAGATGCGTACAATAGAGATGTGAGTGTTTTATCATCTTTCATATTCCTATTGTTGGTTAAGAAACAGTAGAATCAGTCTCTGCTAAGATCATTGCCAGACAGGTATTCTAGGCTATACCATGTTGCTGGTTTATATGAAAGTTACAAAACAAAACAGAAAATGAGTAAATTGATATTATAAATTCAGAAACTGAAATGGTCAATTATTAATTATTCCATATCAAAACAATAGCCATGTTATTATAAAATTTGTAATATTATGTTTTGAATTGAGGTTATATGTACTTTAAATGTTAGTCATGTAACCATCTTCCACTTAACGTTTAATGGTTTGTTTGATCGCAACAAGAGTATGCAAACACTGCCGTGTCCAGAGATTTAAAGTAATGTCTCTATGTGTACATGTGAAACCTCAACTTTCTGAATATCAGTATATTTCATGGGTCCCTGTAGAGTAGTCTGTTCATTGTTGCATATAACTTGAATTATTTATATAATTACAGGCAGTTGGAATAACATAAGTGAAAGTTTAATAACAAATCTAAAAAAAAAATATTTCACATTCTTTTTCTTTCTACCTCACTCCTAACACAGGGTCCCTTGTTTCTATGAAACCATGTTATGACATTTGGTATTACATGTAATTCATTTGTCATTGAATTAAAGACAATGCATTACAATACAATCAACAAACAAGTCATTCACTGCCAAGTCAGGGAGCAACACAACTCCCAGAAATTTATATAAAATAGGTCAAAGGTCACAGGATATGATGGCATATTGCAAACAAAAAACACCACTACACCAATCTGCTTTCAGCTATAAACATTCTACACAAATTGCTTTTTTTTTTCTTACCAGAATTCAGCTGACAAGTTTGTAAATGCATTGTCTGAAATGCAAAATTATCATTCGGTAAGTGAATCTCCTTTATTTGTAAAAGCACATAAAATGAAATATTGTTGTCTTGATCATTTCTTCCTTGTTTTGCAAGTGTTATATTCTGGTGTCATGTATCAGTAAGGGACTACGTCAAAAGATCGATGTCAAATAAAAAACTTAATTGCTTTAGTTTGGGGACGGGGGGGTTTTGACCTCAAAAAGTTTCTATCCTACAAAAACGATTTTATTTTTTAATAAAGTCAAAAAAATCTTGGAGTATTTGTAATTTTTTTTCTATCCAATAATGGACAAAAATAGCAGAAAATGAAAAAACACACATCCAAAACGAGAAAATGGTTTGGTCCAAGTGTAAAGCCTTTTTACACCCACCCAACAACCAACTGCTATGCCATACTACTGTTTGATTATCAATTTGTATTCAATGGTGAATGTAGTCTGACGCCATGGTCAATATTTATCAATTAAATTTCAGTGGGGGGTAGGGGGGTTTGGGAAATAACTAAAGGAATTAAGTTTTTTATCCTACATTGAACTTTTGATGTTGTCCCTAACTTCAGACTTGTATCTCATGGCAGGTCAAAGTTCATTATTGTATTAAAATTTCAATGTCAAAACTGCCAACGAAGTGTCGAACTAAAGCTGTTTTTTTGTTTCAGATGTTATTTGATCAAACTCACAGAGCCATCTGTAAAGCACTTAGTGGATTTGTTAAGGAGTAAGTACGTGTACTCTAGATTTCTAAACATGTGATACTGAAAACTTTAGAAATTAGCATTCCTGCAACATTCAAAATTTCTCTTATATAAACTCCAAATATTTGTGTGCAGGTCAAACACTTTTCTATGTTTACATCATGCAGCAGAAATAGAATTTTGTATGTCCTTTTTGATTCAGTTAAAAATCTAGTATATGGTGAATATCCATAGTAACATACAAGCAATGACCTTTTCACCTCCAGACTTTTTCACCCAAATTAGTCTGCACTTCTTTTGTTATATTGTCATAAATATTTCTAGAAATTAACCCTAATTTGGAGCCAGCAGACAAAATTTTATTAAATTTTTAGTTTTTACTCAAAAAATGTGGTTATTTTTGTCTTCTGAAAGAAAGTGCAGACTATAAACACGACTTTTTGTGAATTTGTGATGAAAAGAGGGAATTGGTGATGAAAAGGATAGCATACCAATCATTGTAGGGAATTTGAACCCTGGCTTTTATATCAGTGTATTTTTGCCTTCCGCCACGCTATTGGTCAGAGTTTTGAAATGGAATACTGCCATGCTATTGGTCAGTATTTTGAGATGAAATACTGCCATGCTATTGGTCAGTATTTTGAGATGAAATACTGCCATGCTATTGGTCAGTATTTTGAGATGAAATACTGCCATGCTGTTGGTCAGTATTTTGAGATGAAATACTGCCACCTGTTGGTCAAAATTTTGAGATGAAATACTGCCACACTATTGGTCAGAGTTTTGAAATAAAATACTGCCATGCTATTGGTCATGGCTTTGAGATGAAATACTGCCACGCTATTGGTCAGGGTTTTGAAATAAAATACTACCACACTATTGGTGAAAATTTTGAGATGAAATACTGCCCCGCTATTGTTCAGAATTATTGAAAAGTGTGTCATTTGTTCACTCTTTGCAGAGACATAAAGAAAGTTAAAGAAACAAAGAAAGTATTTGATAGAATCACAGATGATCTTGAGAGTGCCTATGCTAAACATGCACAGGTGAATAGAACCAAACCTGGTGAGGCCGAGGAAGCTTATAACGTCTTATCTGCTACCAGATCAGCGTACGCACATACAGCATTAGATTATGTATGCCAGGTATGTTATGTTTGTTTTCCCATAATTCCTGTAATTATTATACATCTCTCATTGAAACGCCATAAGTTATAGTATGCCGTAATATTGCGGTATTTTACTGGGTATTTTCATCCTACCATATAAGGAAATGTGAATTCCAAATATGGAATGAATATGCATGTAAGGGTCCTTTAATACCGTACTTTCCTGAACATGTAAAATCAGGAAAATTAGGGGGATGGGCTTATACTCGACTCAAGGACCACCTCCCAACCACAAAAAATTATCCAAATTACATTTTTCGTTCACAGCACCGATCTCGGAGAAATATTATGTCTTTTTGAGGAAAAAATGTGACACTTTTTACAATGAAGAAACCAACATGTTCATAAAAATACACACATTTTATAACAATACGGTTTACATACCGCCTGAATTTACGGTGTAGTAATGGGTAGGGTCTGTGGGGAAACAGTTGAAGGCAAAATTTTTATCATTATCTTCGTTGTGGAATGTTTTCGATCGTACGCAAACTCACTATACAAAGCAATTTCTGCCATGGTGTTTTTCTGGTTCATGATTTGACCTGAGCAACTTCCTTTGACCTAACAGGTCATGTCTTTCGTTAACCAATCAAAATGCTGTGTCGTACAGATGAAGTTTTCCGATTATTGATTGAGTAATTTTTTCAACGCAACGTGAAAGTGAACTACTGTGATGTTAAAATGCAATCTGTTAACACTGATTTCTACAAAAAAAAATGTGATTTTTTTTTCTAAAAGCTGTTGATTCGCAATTTTCGAAAGGTAAATTAGGGGTAAATTAGATGAAGTATTTAAACCTTTCACGGTCACCAATAAGTTGTGTTGAATTTAGTTCGCTCGTTCACACCCCATTCACGATAGTCTCAATGGACACGATTTTTCGGAAAAGTAAAACGATGTTCAATGACCAGGTTTCTCGATCACATTTTGGCGTTTCTAAAGCTACTACTCAAAAGAAATATGGATTAACTCAGTATTGCAACATCGGGGTTTACCCTGAGTAAATAACAAAATAGATGTGCCAATAATGTTCCAGGCGTTCACCCGCCATGCACTCTGAAATAAATGCTAGTTTTCTCGTAAAAGCGGAACCAAACTACCGGTACCATTCATGATTTTTAGCTCTCGTGAAACGGAGCTTATGTGGTACCGGTGTCTGTTACTCTGTGACTCTGTGACAAAAATTTGTTCCACTGATAACTCAAGATCTACAATTTCAATTCAAATGAAATTTGGCACACAGCTAATATATGATGAGTAGATGCACTGATTAGATTTTGGTGCAATTACATGCATATTAATTAGTCAATTATTGCATTAATTAGTCCCCGGACGCAGTATCTGTATCTTAGAAATGCCTGGACCAATCACAATCAAACTTCACACATACATGGTATTATACATATGCATGTGAATTTGTTTCATGATCTGATTCAAGATGGCCGAATGGCAGCCATTTTTGTGCTAAAAATCATCAAAATCAAGCATTTCTCGGCTGTTTACAGATGGATTTTGTTCAAACTTGGTATATACATTAGACATTATAAGACCTTGATGCACATCATTTTGTTTTACAATCTGATTCAAGATGGCTTAATGGCGGCCATTTTTGTGTTAAAAAATCCTAAAAATCAAGCATTTCTTGGCTACTTACAGATGGATTTTGTTCAAACTTGGTAAATAATTTTGTTTTTCAGATAAGATTCAAAATGGCCGACTGGCGGCCATTTTGTTTTAATGAATGGGCTTCTAGACCCATATCTCAGACTTGTTTTGACTGATTATATTCAAATTTTAAATATTCATTATACATCATGTCATAGATAAACAGATATATTGATTTGACGATCCTATTCAAAATGGCCGAATGGTGGTCATTTTTGTGCTAAAAAATCATCAAATATCAAGCATTTCTGGCATTTATGGATGGATTTCGTTCAAACTTGGTACATACATTAGACATTACGGGTTCCTGATGCACGTCATTTTATTTTTCAGATTGGATTCAAAATGGCTGACTGGCGGCCATTTTGTTTTAATGATTGGGCTTCTAGAGCCATATCTCTGAAATGCTTTGACTGATTATATTCAAATTTTATATATTCGTTATACATCACGTTATATATATATATACATGTATTCAAAATGGCTGATTTTGAATGCTGTTCCAGAGCATTATCTCTCAATATGGACAAGTACTTGTTTGACGATCAGATACAAATGTCAATTTTAATGTTAAAAAAATCATATTCCTGACATGGTTATATTCCAGCTATATTACTATAAACAAAACTATTTATCTTAAATTTGATAACTAACGGGGACTGTGCCATGCATGGCTTGTTAATTTATAACTTAGAGTCTTGAAAGGTTCTTAACAAATATTTGACTAGGGTGAGTAGCCTAATTTGCATAGTGCAATAACGTATTCTGTCGCAAAAAAAACTGGTAATATTTCATTGGAAGATCTGCAAATTTGCGAATTTTAGTATATAATGATTTATTATATCATGATGGATGTTATTTGAGCAGATACAGCGACTAAAAACATCAAATGTATGGGGAGTACGCATGCGCAGTTACAAGAGTGACGCGGCCATTTTTTCAGTTTGACGAAAAAGCAGTACCTTTTCCGATTTTCATGAACTCAAGTTCAATTTCATTTTGTGCATCATATTTATCAATAGACAAAATTGAAGACAGATGCCGTACAACTTTCTGCCAATCTTGATTCGTAAATGTGCTGGTTACATGTACAGTGTTCTCCTCGGGCCTGCGTCGCTTAGACAATAGCCGCGTAACTTTCGTTCCACCCGCGATTCTGCAGTGTTCTCATCAGGTCTTTTAAGGGTATCAGGTCCGATACTGTTCTTTCTTTCCACGATACTGTTTCCCTCAAGCTGGGCCGTTTCCAGGCCATTGTTTTGCAATGATGAATCAGAACAGAACAATTCGTGTGAACTGATCGATCCTAACTTATTATCTGGATACTCGTATTCACCTGCGGATACTTTGGCCTACTTTCAAGAATGAATATAGAAGGAAATCAACGATTTTTTTTCAGTATCGCTCCAGACTTTGCAAGATATTTATATAATAATCACAGTGATCACTACTATTGGGTTCAAAAATTATTTATGATCATTCAAAATATAGTGGCCATGGCTGTCGGTTCAACCCAGTACTGACCTTCACCGCTATTGCGACGCCACGAGCAGAGAAAAGGAAAACTGAATCCCCGCGTCTACACTTAATCCATGTATAAGGCAGACAGCAACAGCAAGGAAGTTTGTCAGTTTTATTCAAGATATAAATTTTCTATTTTACGCATTGAAGCTACACAACGTGACCAAAAGCACTTCCAATGTGATCTAATTTGTAAACAATCTCTTTGCACACGACTCCCAGTGTCTTCTCCTCGAGCAGACAGTAATGTTTCACATTTGTTTTCACATGGTTTCCATCTTACTCAATTAAAACGAAGCAGTTGATTCCTATTTTACTTAGTGTTTATTCTTGTTTGATATTTTTAAACAAAAATGCACTCATTAAACAAATAGTAAATATGCGAGTTTTTTGTTTTTGCCGAACGAGGACATGGAAAACAAAATGACGATAGTTTTGTGTAGGGTTGATCGCGATCTTCGGTTTGTATCAAAACCACGTCTCACAAATGAAATATTTTTTTTGAGTGATAATTTGATAGCAATTAAACAAATTTCAATCATTGGCATATGTAAGGGCTGGTTCACTTACTTTCAAGGGCTCAAAGTCCGGGCGAACATTAAACTAGATGTTTTTATTTATCTGTTCTAGGTATGTTGTACAGACTTTTTAGTTGTACTATTTTGATGATTTAATTTCAAGAATCTGTCAAGGAAACAATCTGTTGTTACTTTACATGTTCACGTAGGTTTAATTTAGCAGATTTTACTTGTCAGCGAAAATGGCGAAATTTGTCCATTGCGTCAAGAAGATCTATCCTGATTTGCTGCACTGAGGTTAATTGCGATTTTTACTACTCCATCGCTAATGTCGTAATGACACCAATTACCAAGAATTAAAAAAAACAAGTGAAATTAAGTCGCATTAGGAAAAAAACCCATAAGAAAATCAAAGCAAAAATTATTCAACTGACGAGACAAACCCCAACCTCTAGAAATACCTCATTCATAGAGTGCCTCATTAGTGCCCATTGTTTACAAGTATAGTGTCCTTGCATGTTTTTCAAAATGCCCATATCAAAATCATGTGTTTCCATATACAGTATGTCAGAGATTCTCAGACATCTTGATCAATTTTATTGATGGATTGACCTACATGCAATTACATTAACTTATTAGGCAAAGCCTATACCTTTATAATACCTGCTCTGATCACACGAGAGCTATTTACAGTTTAACTTTGATTATGCAATGAAATACACTTTTTACATGCATATTTTAATAAATGTTGCCGATGCCCAGTAAAAACACCCTGGGCCAATACTCGGGGATTTCCTCAACTCATTAAATGTCTATAAACAGAGGGATAGGCTTATGCTTGGGAAGTACGGTAATAAAAACAAACATGGCTGCCACCAGGGTTTGCCCGAACTCCACACAAAAAAGTTTGCTGATTTTGGATTTCGGCATTCTGCCAGTCTCTTCATAATTATAAAATATTTAGATTTATAACAAGATTCTTTATTACTAACTTTGGAGCAATATTTTAGATTTTGTGAAACGTTGGAATATTTCCAGAATTTTGTTTATGATCATAAGATTTCAATCTGGTTGGTAAAAAGCCATTCACATCTGGCCTCATGAGCATCTTTTTACCAGTTATTTCAAAATTCTTAAATTATTCCACCGTTTTGCAGTATTTTAAAATATATTTGGTAATACAGATGTATGTGGAACTTATATCTGTGAACCATTCTTTGCAATGAGAGACAAATTTCCTTCATTTTTCACTCACCCTCTCAATATTAGACATGTATATATATATCTTTATTCAGTACTATAGGCCATGGGCCTTACATGTACAATATTAAATATTCTTGAAAATAAATAAATAAATATAACTAATGTATTTGAATTACTTGAATTAATTAACGAAATAAATTTCCATTCTGTTGCTGGAGAAAAATAAAATTGTGGAATAAATTTTAGCCTAAGATTGGCATATTGTGGGCAAATTAGAAGCATGTGATGGACAAAACCTCAGTTCCAGTGGAACGCCTGTCCCTCTCCCAGTCTCAATATTTGGGTCATGTGTAGAAATTCTAAAACAAGACAGTGCCCTCTCAATATTATAAAACATCTGACAGTTAATGATTACAGTTTTCCCACAATGCAGCGCTGACATTTTTTTTGAGTGATGTGTGTGAGTGTATTCTGCAGCAATCCTTTTTTTTTTGCAAACTTGCAGGTAGTTGATTACAGATATGAACAGCACTATTTTGTTTATTTTTTAATTCTTGATTATTATTTTTTCAATTTATTGATAACTCGTTTCTTTCTTTGTAGATTAGTATAGTTGATTCCAGAAAGAAATATGAAATACTTAATTCTGTAAGTATGTCGCATTTATTATGCATGTGGTATGTATGTACCACGAACTTAACCCTTTCACCACCAGACTTTCTCACCCAAATTTTTTGTACTTATTTCTTATATCTTTTCAATATTTCTGGAAATGAACCCTAATTTTGGACCTAACAGACACAATTGAAGTCAATTTTCAGTTTTTAGTCAAAAAATTTGGCTATTTTTGTCCCAATCTTCTTCAGGGAAGTACAGATTATAAACTGGATTATTTTGTGAATTTATGCTGAAAAGGGGGAACTGGTTGTGGAAAGGTTAAAAAAAGATATATTATTGCACTAAAATTATGTTTTTTAATGTCCTTTGGGTCAAAATTCAGTGGAACAATATCCTAATGTTTAGAGATTTAAGTCGTTCATTAGGTGTAATCCAGTGCTACCACCATTTTGTTGGTCCATTATTGTTGTTACCCAGTACTAAGGTACGATACTTGATGGTGCTATGGTACCATACCTTCTGTGCGGTTACTGAGGAAAACATTTGGGGAGTCACCTTGTAGCATTATTAGCTAATGCTACATACGGCTTCAGAAATTTGGATTGTTCAGTAGCAAAAACTCAGAGCTCTCATGAATGTTTTCTATAGTGAATGCTCCCCTGGTGGTGGTTGCCATATGGTACTATAGATGATCATGGTTGTTGCCATGATATCATATCAGATCATGGTTGTAGCCATGGTACCATTATTGATGGTGATAGTTACCATGGTAATATAACAGTAATTCTTTCTTACAGTTGTTGTCCTTTACTCAAGCGCAGTACACCTTTAATCATCAAGGATATGATTTACTGAAAGAATTAGAACCATTCTTTAAACAGCTTTCATCCCAGGTAAGATATTAAAGCAACAATAGCGGTGATTTTGAACATTTTCTTGTTTGAATATAACATGACGCATAAAGTTGACCAAATCTTTTCGAAATATTGTTTCAGACACAATTACATAATCCTACACAAGGGTAATAAAATGTGATGTGAAAAAGGTAGAGTAGTCATCGTTTAGTCAAATTTGTCACATGAGCAGAATTGTAGAAAATTATGATGCACTCTATTATTGGAAATGACGCATAAAATCGGGTCCCCCCGTCATCTGTATTTAAATAGATGACGCCCTCTGGAGGCCTGATGCAATCCCACAGCCATCTTGTTTACACTTGTATTAAAGTGATTTAATGTATAGTGTCAGTAATAATAGCATCTATGCTTTCAGTGTCTACATTTTGACGATGACTTTTACAAACTGGCACTAATGAAACGGGAAATGTTTTATTAAAAATAAAATTGAGAGAAAAAAGATATTACTGTTTTAAGTTTAGAAGTGCATCTTTTATAGAAGAGCATATTAACCAAAACTTGCATTTGTTGTATTCTGAAAAACAAGATGTTTTTTTAAATTTGATCGCACAATGTAGAACATCTGTGAATATACAATATGACACACCACTGAAGCATAAAGATTTGCTGTGTGACAATTAGTTGTGTTAATTTACTGTTGCGTCATTGACACAACAGAAAATTGTACATTTACTATAATAGTTATGGAATTTGTAATTTCGTAATTTTATAAACAAAATAAATGAAAAAACAAACGATAAGGCGATAATCTTTTGTTTTTTACATTTTGAAAAGCAATCTTCTCAGCAGTTTGCAAGCTGACTCAATTTGATATTTAGGGATTCCATTTTGACTCAGGATCCCCTCAAAATCAATCCTGGTAGAGAGGACACACTAGTAAGCACACGTGCTACTAAAAGCAAGTTACCACTGACATGATTCTATCATTCACAGTTAGCAGAGCAGCGAGTTACTGCGATTGCTGAAAAGAAAGAAATGGACAAGAGACACAACCTAGTCAATGATGTGGTAAGCTATAATAAATCCAACACTTAAGGTGGTTCCAGCCTAATTCCATTTTTGTACTACTGAGCATGTTACTGCGCATGCATGTCTGACTGAAAACTGAACTAAATTTTAATTTTTTGAATGCCAAAATCAACTTCAGGTGCCTTCCACCAAATAGTTCCATATATAGTCTGCTCTTTGCCACTTAAAATGTTGTGAAAATTTCTGATATTTTGATAAAAAATTAATAGTAATGTCACATTTTATTTGTTTGGTTCAAAATTAAGATTGATTTCAGTGAAAAATACAGAAAATGTGCACAAATCCACCCAATTTGAGCGGGGGAAAAATGGTACTCTAAGGGTTGAATGCCATTGATATTAAAAATAGTATTTATGCCATTTCTGTTAAAAATGATATTTTCAAATTCTTCTTGAACACTACCAACCTGATTACTTTGATATTTGAAGTGTACATTATTTTTGTGAACAATTTGTTTGATTAAGTTAAGTTGACATGTTCTCAACAGTCTTTTTTTGTGGGTTAACTGCGTTTTGTTTTATGGGTGTGCATTGTTTGACTTGGCTACCACAATGTTCTTGTTGGACAGCAATGGTATTTTGAGCATCCGGTTGCTTGTTGTTAGATTGTACTGTAAACTTATCTCAATCTGACATTGTTTCAAGTGTCTTCCTCCTTCTCTGGTCTATACATATTCCTATGATTTCATCACGAAGTATAATTATGAATCAATAATCAATAAATGTGAATATTAAAAAAAATATTGTGTTTATTTTCTTTTAATACACGAATGTACATGTATACATAAATTTGTTACAATAATAAATTGTATTAAATAAAATAAGAATAATATCAGAGGTACATTACTTGGGGTTTGCAACTACGGTGACATGATACCAAGATCCCGTTACAATCTCGCTCTCGCATAAGCGAATGCGCATGCCCGAGGTAACTAGGATACTGTGATGTCCAGGTGGATCAAAATAGCTGCCCAAGATATGACGGATTACGAGAACTATATTTTCTGTACATTTTCGATGTATTACATTTTTCACTACGATAGTGGCAAGAAAAGTTTTATTTTTTCATTACAAACCTTGAACATTGATATATGTCATGTCAGAAGGTTGTAGCATCAGTCTCGCTATTACGAGAAGAGACTTGAATGTGATCTTGACATGATGTCACCATACAGTACTATGCGAGTTGCAAACCCCAAGTAATGTACCTCTGATAATATTTATATTTTTCTATTTAATCTTTAATTTGACATAGATATATTTATATTAACATAGGAAATGATTTTGAGTCAAGTACCAGCTGATAAACCAGCATATGAAATGGAAGGGTATTTATTTAAAAGAGCTTCCAATGCATTCAAGACATGGAATAGGTAAATATGAGAAGGTCATTTTCTGACCAAGTTCAATATTTTAAGAAATGTGTATTCTTTACTCAAGCCAGGAATAATATTGAATGTTCTACCAGTGGATCCACTGCAAATATGATTTTTGATTTGTCCAACCATGAAAATTCTTTTAGCCAGAAGGCTTTAAAATTGTATGCAACTCAGTAACTTTCTTCATTGAAACTTGTTCCATTTCTTTATCCAAGGATTTTGATTATTATTATATTATCTGCTCCCTGATTTGCGATGTTTTGCAATTTTGGAAAACTAGCACCAACAACCACATTCGAACATTTTCTCGGTGATATTTAATAAACACTCACCAGATTTGGCGACCATGAAAACATTTACTCTTGTTTTGAAAATTGTAGTTACCCTGCCAACGTGGAATGTCAAACCTGGAATGTCTGGATATGTTTTTTTTTTTTCAGACGATGGTTTATTATACAAAACAATCAATTGATTTATCAAAAGAAGCTAAAAGTAAGTTTTGATTTCTTGTTTTTTTTCTTTCTACTGAATATCTTCTAAACTAGCTAAATGATGATTTTAGTTTGAATACCGGTAGGTGATTTTTTCTTCTCTGTGAAATATTGTGTTGACTGCCAACAAATTTGAAGAATTTGATTTTGAATTTCTTCTTCTATAGCTCAATGCTGATTATTTAGAAAGTAATATTACATTGAAAAAATCTTACTTCATCAAAATTAACCATTATCAAAAATATATAGCACGTTATTAAGCAAAGAAATAACCAGAAATACTTTCACGCAGTGTTTTGACGTGATCTTTATCGTGTTTTTCTGTTCGATTTCACACATAACAAGGGATCCTGCAGTGAATGGAACCTATGTATTTCATCAATATGACTGGTTGCACGAGTTAAACTTTTGAATAACTAGTTGCGTATTTACGTTGCTAAAACTTGCAGCATTGGTATGCTACGATATATTGCACCACTAGGTTGTGAAATCATCACCACCATCTTTGTATATGAATCCTGGATACCTAAAGAATGTGAATCAATCATATACTCACACCTTGCGGCTGAGGCAGATTGTGCGAAACAACATATTTAACCTTTGACACTTAACAGTTTGAATGCTAAAATTAAAGCGGGAGGGTCCTCGCCTGTGCCCGTGCGGGAATTGAGTCCCAAGCGATGATAACAACACACGCTAAAACGCAAAGGCTCATGGGTAGATGCTTGTTTGTGAACAATGACACACTACGACTGTCTGACGCATGCACAGGGGACGACTCCCCCGCTTTAAGTTTTAACTCCCCTCCAAGATATGCCTTCAATAACTTGTGTCATCATT